GACGGCGCCACCGCGGATGCCTCGAGCAGTGCGTTGGAGGTCGGCCCCGTTGTACGCATGGCTGCGAGCGTGCAATGCAACGCCACCGGAATCCTTGCCTGCTGCGTGGGTCAGCCCACGGACCACCTTGACACAGAGCGGGCTCACGCTGTGCGCCCCGTGCAAGCACGCACGCGGTACCGCTTACTATAGCCGCGCTTTCCCCGTTTGGACTTCCAAGAATGGTTGTCGGTGACGAGGACGCCGGGGAGCTGACGCAGCCGGGAACATTCCGTCGAGCTCGGCCAGGAAGGAGCGCTTCTCCTCCTACGCTGCCAGCTGTGCGGTCAAACGAGAGCTTGTGCTAATACAGCGTTCCGTTAACACTACTTACTTCGCTGTATAACAACCTTTAAGCTCACAAGCTATATCACTGCGAGATAGAAGACGGAAACAGGGTCGAGTCAGTGAGTGCCCGCGGATGTCCTGTCCTCTTCAGGGACGTTACCTGGTTGCGTGCTCAAATATGTATATATTTTGGATTATTGGTGCGCAACGAACTTTATTATTTCCCTGTAAAACAGATTCAAAATGTAAGCTGATGGTGCAAGAGTCAGACGACTATTGCTTCTACATGTACATGATCGATTAGCGATGCCCTCAACATTTAAAATATGCTAAACTTCAGTGATATGAGGCAGTTCTGTGACCTCGAAGATGCCCAAACACTTCTGCGCGCCATGTGCCTGCGCCAATCGGTGGTTACAAACATATAACAGTTCTTGTGAATCAAGCCTCATCACACGAAACTTTAGAAAAAGGCACTTAAGCGCCCGGGGCAACATGGTAGCATATAGTAGTTGTCGTGCGTAGTAGCATAGTACAATTTGTAATGGGCAAGGTAGAATTGAGTCGTTCCGTTACAACACCACGGACAGCAGCGTACCTGAGAAACCTTGCTGGGCTCTTCCGTATACGTGCACATACACCGTGAACGTTGTTTGTCGTTTATAACCTCGTGTTCCTTAGTAGAGTATGCTTCATGGTTTCTACTACAGCGTGCCTCGCGGCTCGTTTTGTGTCCGTATTGGGGTCACAGAGCGTTACTATATTACAGTGTGCAGGTACGTAGCCTGTATTTATTTATTTATTTATTATTTATTATTTATTTATTTATTGATTTATTTATTTATTAGAAATACTTAAGTGCTTCTAGGCACGACGCAAAGGAGTGAGAAGACAATAGTTACATGTGTATCTAAAAAAGAAAAAGAAAATAAATATGGCAGCTTTGCCTTTGTGGTGACAAGCCAACAGGAAGTGTGAGCTGGGCCGCCTGTCTTTTCCTCTCCATCTCTCTCTTTGTCGCTTTCTCGCTCTTTATTTATTTCCCTTTTGCCTCTATTTTTATTTCTGTCTTTCGTTCTCCATCAGTTATTTTCTCTTCTTCGCTCTTTATATCTTTCATCCATCTTATCTTTCTATTTCTCGCTCCCTCCTTTTTTCCATCTCTTTTTCGCTCTCTCTTTCTTGCTTGTTTGTTCTATATTTTCTCTATATCTATTTGGTGTCGTTATTTTCTCCCTATTTATTTCTCTCTAAGTCCATTTCTTTACCTGTCTTTCCATAGTTTTGGTCTTCTCCCCCTTTTTTTTTCGTTTATTTTTTTTTTCGTTTATTCTCCGTTCTGTTTTCTGTCTACCTTTCTTTATTTCTCTCTATTTCATTCTTTCTATCTCTTTCTTTTTATTTCTCTCTACTCGTTCTCTCACTCATAAGAGGTATTGCGTCTCACGCTCGACCAATTGGTGCATGTGTCCTTGGAGCATAGCAGAAGATGAAGAGGAGGACGAAGTGAGCGCACGAGCGGAGGTTCACGATGACCATAGTCTTAGGTTCGCTCCGCTCCAATGCTATCAAAAAAAAGTACAAGACGTATTGCACAGCCAATCTGACACCTTGCTCATCCGTTATGCTGGCGATGGAGGCGGGGAGGTTTTGCCCGGCGGGGCTTGTCGCATAGGGATAAGCGATTGATTGTGAAATATTGTGCGACTAGATCATAGCCTCACTGATAGCGACGATCCGTGTTTGGCGATTTGAATCGAGTTTGATGAAACGGCGTCCTTGAAATATCTGTTATAGTCGTATTATGATATGAGGATATAAACGCGAGAAAAGCATTATCAACGCCACCACGCGACTTACACTTGGACAGATTAGTGCTGCTCTTCACTCTATAACCCTTAGCACGCCTTGTGGTTCCGTCCTCATAACACACACAATTATCCCTTCGTTTTAGTATTGTCCTGTCAATCTGGGAACGTCGATAGGGGCGTTAATTTGCGATAGTTTCGCAATTAGAACATGTGCAGTAGGCACTGTAGCTTGTCGACTTATTGCTCGAACGTTCTCGGAGTGCGTTTTGGCAGCTAGAACGACCTGCCAGAACTTCCTACGTAGTGCAATGTTGTCGTGTTGTTCAGGCAACAAAAGTGTCTTCAGGCATCCTTCGGGACAG